TGAAAGCATCCACACATGCAGCAGTGGAAAATAAACCTGTTGCATGATTTGCATTGGAGCGGTATTCTCTAGCATCTTTTGAAGTTGTCTGATGAGGTGCTTATTTTAACTGCTTCTTGGCAGCATTCAGCTCATCCTCCACAGCGTAGCTTCCATAGAGTAGGAAGTACCATCAGGCAGTTCATACATGGTGAACAGATGTGCAGAGGCATGGACAGCAAAGGCTGTGGGTGTTCCATACTGGCAGTGATACCCTGGTGTAGTCCTCCCTTCTCTGTCTGGCTGGTGCCAGAGTGAACCCTGCGCATCTTTCCAGTGCCTTTCTCTCCTTGCCTTCAATTGATTTTTGAATGGAACCTCCTAAATCTTAACAGGGAGTTAGTTGTTGGGTGTTTGAGTCAAGGGACTGAGGTGGAATAGGGCAGAACTAAACTGGGATGTTTCCCTGGTGCCCCTTAGAGGAGACAGAGAAGTGTATGCTCAGTGATTCCCTTTTTGTGATGACCAAGCAGTGGTCATTGAGCCGCTCACCTTAAGAAATATCCTGTGGGTTTCTGCTCTGCCTGCCCCATACTTCGGAGTCGTTCACCATCAGCCTGTCTGCAGGCAGAAGGGGGACAGGCCCCACTGGCCCTCATGGTGCCTCTGCACCCAGCTGACCTGGGTGGTGTATTAAAAACAGCACCACAAATGGTGCAACATGGGGGGAAGGCAAGCTCACCACTAGCTATGAGTCGATTACTCCTTTGCCCCTTGGTGCTTGAGGATTGCACTACTAAAAGCATACATGGGGCAGCCAGGATTCTGAGTCCCAGGTACCTGAATGAATAGGTTAATCTGCAGGAAATGTGAGAGGCAAACACTGCTGAAATAGTTTGTGGGTTGCACGTGGGAGAGCCTACCTGTGTGTTGTGTAGTAATAGTTCTGTGTATTTGGCATATGAAAGCTCACTTTATTCAAGTTCATTTTTTCTATTTTAGCAACAAAACAATAGTAATAATATGGTAAAGCCATTGATAGAGATCAAAATTTGTAGCATGGAAGATGATCTGTAGCTGTTTGGATCAGTGACATCAAGCAGTGAGTTTGGGGAAAATACTGAAGTCCATATCCAACCATAATTTTGTCCCTGAGCAGCTCGATTAAACTTTTCTGTTTGCTACTGTGTTTATACTCAAGGGAAGCCCCATTTTTCCAGGAGATACTGAGCCAGGCATCCCACAAAGGGAGCATCTAATCCTTTCCCATAGTGTACACAGCACAATTTGAGTTCTGTGTAGACAAGAGGTACAAGCCATGGTACAGACAAGCAGGCAGAGCGCAGGGAGAGCTGTGCTGCAGCCCCACAGGAAGGCACCCAGCAGCCCTGAGAAAAGTCTGTTGCACAGCCATCAGCAGGAGATAAAAAAATAAGCTGGAGTTATCACTACCCTTTAAAAGCATTTGTGTATAGCTAAGATACCATTTCCTGTACAGTCACACACATCATTGCACAGTGCCATGAACTTCGCTCTTATCAGCACCCTGATGGGAAAGCTCGGGTTATTTACAGTAGGGCTTGTTTCAGTGTTTCAAGCTTCTTTTCAGTTAAAACCAACAGCAAATTAAATATAAAATAGATAAGTAGGGAAAGTGAAATTGATTGTCCAGGACCGAGGTATGATAGGCAGAGAAAACTTAAGGCACTTCCTCTAGGTTACATTACCTTCTTTTATGTATATTAGATACGTGAAACTTACTTTAAAAACTGGCAACTGAATTTATGTTTAGTGAAGCAGCACTAAATGACTGAAAAAAAACCCCAAACCCCAGCACATGCTTCAGGTTGATTTTGTTTACAGCAGAAGTATAGTATAGCTAACACTGTTAATACCAATATTGAAATTTTACTTTTGTTTCAGTCACTTCCATGAGGATTTAGAGTTTTGTATTGTGTACACTATATATGTAGTATATAAAAAAGGAGTCCAGGAACTACAAAATGCCTTTGGACAACTTCAGTCTGTCTCTTGATCTCAGATGTTCAAAGTTTCCTCATTTGAGACTTGGGGACTTGGATCCTTTTCTCTCTGCCTGCTTACTGACCTTGATAATAGATTTTTAGTCTAACACGTGTTTAGCAGCCCTGGGATTCCCTCCCAAATGAAACTAAAAATAGCTTTACAGGGAACAAGATCAAGTTGTGCTGGACTCTACTGTACCTGGCAGCCAGCTACTGCCAAACTGCAGGCTGTGGGCAGGATCAGGAAATAATTTTAAGTATGTACATATATATTTTTTATATATGTTAATTTTTTTTTCTATAGTGATGACATGCTCAAGAAGCAGGTGTACTGGAAGTACAGAAAGGTACATTCACTTGTACATACAAAAAGTGAGGGGGGAGGGAACCCCACCCCAAACCCATAAACCTGGGTCAAGGGCTGCCTTTCTTGTCTCTTTCCCCCCACACAGTGGGGCCCTCCCAGAGGTAGTGACCTGGCTCCCAACAATACATATTTACAGATCCCAGGCACATACAGGATTCACTGTGGAAAACAATACCTGACTGTGCTTTCAAAAAAACCAGGCAAGATTACAGGCTTTTCTCTGTGATTTCTGAGGGTGATAGATGAGCTCTTCTTCTCCCCATCTTGGTATTTCCTCTGCCTCCAGCCCTGTCACCTATTAAAGCAGCAATGGGGGAATTTTACCATGTTTTATACTTTCATTCTCAGCAGTGATCTGTCTCTTCCTCCGTGGAAGCATGCTAATCCCTCAAGTCTCTTACACAGCATGATTTTCATCTTAATTTTCCTGTTCCTCAGTGTTTAATGGGTTTGCTGGGGGAACAGGGAGTGGTTTCGTGTCCCCACCAGATCATTAATTCTCTATGAAAACACCCCAATCTCACACTTCTCAAGCAAACAGAAACATTGGGAAGAGGCAGTGTCATGTGCAGAACACTCACTGAGCTGTGCTGCAGCAGCTGGAGGAGCAAAGATGTTGGTGTGCACTGCAGAGACCAGAATGGTCATTTGAAAAGCAGGGAGGAAGAGATTATGTAAGAGCAGTAGAAAATAGCTTTTTAATTTCTTAGCAGAAATGACTATGTGTTTTTTTTTTCAGCTTAATCTGCTGAGCTGTCTCCTCATAGTCTTTATTTTTATAAACAGTTACTCTTCTTTTTTTTTTCAAAACAACACTGGCCCAATGGTTTTCTTACTGATACTTGTCACTTTCTGAATAAGGAATTTGATTTTTGCTCCTCTTTTCAGTGCTTGGGCATCTCTGCCTTCCTGTCAAAAAAACAAACCAAAAAAACAAACAACCCAACCCTATATTTGTGAATCTTTTCTGCAGAGCATTTCATGAGATGGGAAAAATCCAGAATTATTCTCCTTAAGCCAGCAGCAGGAGGAGAAAATAAATGATTCATATGTTTACTTTTAAAAATCCTTTTTAAGAACTCAAATGCACCTGATAAATTATTAGCATTTCACCCAACCAGCCTCTGCTATCAACTCCTGGCATTTCTGTAGGTAGCCCTGTGCTCATGTGGTATCTCACTACCAATCCGGGGATTTACAGGTCTCAGGAGAGAATTAGTAGATTACCCACTTCCTTGCCTTCAACATTTTTTAGCCTCTGTGGGGTTTTGGCTTTTTCCCCTTTCCCTTGGCCTCTTTGCAGGTTTGTTGGTCTTACACACATCTGTGCCAGGAAATTATTTCTGTGAGCACCAGAGCCATGTAAAGGTTTCTTTACATGCTCTTCAACTCAGGCACATCCCCAAGCTGGGACCATTCACCCAGACAATTTCAGTTTCAGAATGGTGATGCCCTCCCTGTCATCTCCTGTCATCCCAGGACCAGTGTGCCTGCAGGACATGGGGAAGTACCTTGCTCCAATGGGCCAGAGTAGCCAGGCAGTGGTGATGGCACATCATTTGCTTATAGGGAGCAAGATTCAGCTGTGTGCTGGTGAAAAATGCACATTTGGGGTGTGCTGGTGCTTTCCCATGGTAACAGAGTTGAAACTGGACAAGTTTCCATGGTGATTATTACTACAGCAGGATTCTCTTCACACTTCAGGAGAGGCACGGGCAGCACCAGGCAAAGCAGCCAGGCATCAGCCAAAGTCTGCTGGCAGCAGCTCACAGGGCAGAAATTATATATCCTTCTAAATAAATGGGTATAGTGCCATTAATTTACTGATTTTTTTTTTTTCATTTTTTTCCCCAGGGAAGTGTTGATCTTTAGGGGAAACAGGCTGCGCATTTCATCGTGATCATGAACAGAAAACATCCCTGTCCTTTTTTAATTGCTATTTGCTTGGTTGATATAAGAGTTGGGCTGTCAAAATGGATTTTAAGTGCTTTTGGGTTTTTTTTTCCCCCAAGTCTTTAATGAATCAGGTGCCTGGTTCACATTACTGTCTCTGTCTAACTCTGTGGCAGGGTGAACACTGGGGTTTGGTTTGGTCTTGCTTTGCTGTTGCGTGGTCATGCTCCTTTCTGATCCTGCACATGGCAGTTTTGGAATGAAAAAGGGACAAATATTGAAGGGGAATGAAGTACCCTTCACGAATGGTTGAATATTTCTTGGCTGCAGTATTTTTAGAAATGTTTGTTTTGGCGCTTCTGTTGAGTTAAAACAACATGCTGTCACTCAGCTCTGATGTGCATTGTCATTATGTGAAGCTTTGTTTAAAAATGTGGAATGGGCAACCTGAGTCCTTGTTTCAGGCTGTGTACTGAGAGGTTTTTTGGCTGCAGGCAGTCCTTAAGGCCATGTTTATGGCTAAATATAAGTTTCTCAAAGTGTTTTGCACAACACTCAGGGCTGTATGTATATCCAGCATCTCTGTATATATAGTACCCTGTATTATGGAGCCGTTAGCTTGAAGTGTGGAAACATTTAACGGCTTTTCTATGGTGACGGGGTCTTTAAAGGCAATTGCAAATATTATTTTAGGGAAGAGATTTATGTGGTGCCTAAAATATATTTCTGGCTTGCAGGCCAAATTATGTCGGTGCTGATGCTCCTGGCAGCGTGGAGCCGCCGTGGGTCCCACTGACAGCAATGTAGAGGTGGTGCTGGCAGAGCCCAAGAACCCCTGCGGCATGGAGGAGCTGTACAAGGATGCCCCAAACCTACCTGTGGATGTCACCAACTCACCCTCGACGATGGCCAACAACAAGCTGGAAAATGGGGTGGCCCAGCTGATCACAGCAGAGGCTTGGAACATCAACTCGGCCGACCTGATGAAGAAAGCCCTTTCTCCGCTGGTGACAGTCCCCGCGCCCTCCATCCTGACGCCACCGGCCGAGTCGCAGAGCGGGGTGGCCCTGAAGGTGGCGGCCACCGTGCTGCAGCCCATCTGCCTGGGGGACAGCCCCGTGGTCCTGCCCATCCACCTGCAGGTCGCCGGCAGTGCAGCCCCGCAGATGCCAGCCACCAATGCTGCCACCCCGTACGTGATGACCACCCAGGGCCCCGTCCCGCTGCCCGTCCTCCTGGAGCAGCACGTCTTCCAGCACCTGAACTCGCCCCTGGTGCTGCCCCCGGGGGCTGCCTGCCCCGCCAGCCCCCTGCACGCCGGCCTCTTCCCCGGCACGGCCACCCCCGTTGGGCAGCCCCAGCTCCTGGACCCCAAGCCCTCCGGCCAGGCGCAGGAGCCCGTCCTGCCCCCCGTCTTTCAGACACCGGGATTCGCCGCCGTCCTTCAGGACCTGTTTCCCCCACAGGGCGCCCTGGGCTCAGCCCCCTGTCAGCCGCCTCCCGACTACGCCACCCTCCCACCCCAGGCCTTCAGCTC